AAACTTATAACTGGGATTTGCTGCATTTGAAATCATTTTGTGCATATAAAACCTGTGAACTCACCAACTCTTTGTAGTTGACACTCGACTTTAATATGCTTTTCAGGAAATAAGAAGGTAGTGGAAAAGTAGATAATCTTACGTTCTTGCTTGCATCCACATTGGGCAACATAAGCTAAGGAACTCCTTTTGTAACGAACTTATTTTGTTAAAAACTTTGTTTATGTTGAAATGTAATCGGTGAATGTAATTTTAAACTTTGGATTTTTTTTTTGTTATGGCTATGAATGTATGGTTGGTGTTAAATATATCCTAGTGCGATGAACTCCTAACTGTCGCGCCTCGTGTTTCCGCTTTAGCGGGGTGTGACAACAATGATCAGTCCTGGAATAAGAAGAAATAGTTCCATCCATTTATATTTACGAAATACATTCAGGGTGGCGTGAAGAATACGTTAGACTTCTCTTCAGAACTGAAATTTGATGAATGAAGGTGTAGTGATTCCGATTCAGCAGACTGCATGATAAATCGAAAAATAATGTTACACTAACAGTGATCCTTCATTCAATCGGATTCAATCTAGTGCAAATGATAACCGGCACCTGTTAAACAACAACTCTCATTGTGAACTCGTTGATAGACGCTATGATGGTCGGTTGGCCTTGAATATGAGAATGTTGCAATATCTACCTCATATTACTCTGCAGTGGCGGTTTAAACAGGACCATGTATAGTAACCGTGAACCTTGACACGTGTCACATGCACAAGTATGTTTGTACTGAAAGCAGAAATTGTGTCTAGATACATGTTTTAAGCGGGAAAACACAGTAATCGGCGCACAGGAATGGAACACATGTCTCAAAAGTTACTTATTTATTAGGGTTGTAGATATATATATATATAGAGAGAGAGGGGGGGGGGCACGTTCAAATGAAAACCATGCAATTCTTAGAAACCGTGTAAACTAATTTCGACCAATAGAAAAATTCCATTTTTTTTTCTAATTAAATTTAATCATTAAGGGTATATTGGTCATTTGCGTTGTTTTTTATTAAATATGGAAATTATTAATAAATCTTAATTAAGGCAACATAATAAAGAAAATTTTATAAATGGTAACATTTAAATATTTAAATAAATTATAATATTGAAAATTCGATGTTGTTATATTGTGTTTCGATTTATTATTGTCAAGATTAATGAAAATCGTAAGTTATTAGAGTAATAAATCCATGAAATCAATAGTAGAATAAAAAAATATTCATGAAAGCGATTTCATACATGGTGAAATTGGCGCATGAAGTAAGTGAAAATAATTATGGAATGCGTGCATGATGAAACCGGTTTCATACATGGTGAAATTGATGCATAGAGTAAGTGAAAATGATTATAAAATGGGTGTATAATGAAATGGGTGCATGATGAATAGGGTGCATGAGGATATGGGTGCGTGATGAGGTTTAAGATGCATGAAATGGGTGCATGATGAATAGTGAAAATGTTTTATGAAACAGGTTCATGAGGTTTAAGATGTGGTTGGATTTACCATTTTGCCCTTCTCGTTATTATAAAATAAATAAATAAATAAATAAATAAATAAATAAATATATATATATATAAACTAAACTAATCTTGATCATTGATCAATAAAAATAGATGGATGAGATTGATTTACATGATTTACACAGATGGGAGCGGTTTTCATTTGATCGCTCGTCTATATATATATAGGGGCCTAATCAAATGAGAACTGATTAGTTTGTGGTAAATGTGAGATCCAATCTCAGCCAATCATTTTAATAATTAATGTTATATCCTAAAATAATATAAAGGGTATTTTGGTAATGTTTATATACATAAAACCCTAGATGTTATTTTCTCCTTCATCTATTTCTTCTCCAGCCACCACCATCACCCCCATCTACTTCTTCATCGACGGTTTCCCCCCCTTCCACAATCATCTCATCTTCTCCTTTATCATCACTAAACGTGTTCTCGCATATTCGAAAGCGTGTTCTGAGAAGCACGAACGCCGACAAAAAATCCGCAGAGATCAACGACTGTAACGATGAGCCCTCTCAACTCTCGCCGCCCTCAACTCCCGCTGTCGCAGGTGGTGACGCCCTAAAAACAAGAAACAGACAGTTACGGCGATTATCATCCCTGTTTCTCCGATGGTCTTTTGTTGTTGGATGCTTGCAATTACAGCGAGTTTCTGGAGTTCCGACGAGTCCCCATGTGGATAATTTGGCCTGTTATGTTGACCAGATGCCGGAAGTTCACTCCGGCAAGAAATCGGCAGTGGCTGTGAAGGAACAGAGAGGTTGTTACAATAGAAGGTACGTAGTTGACACTCTTCTTCGTCTCCGACCAATCAGTCTTCTACCACTACAATGCAATCGTTGGCACTCTTCTCCATCTCCGAGTATTCATTGCAAGGCTGTAAAATAACTGCGGGTTATCAAAGTGTATCACAGTGTATCCGGTAGTTTTATTTTATGAATTGTATCACAATATGCAATTTCATTATTTTCTTTGTTTTATCACGGTGTATCACAATGGATTTGCTTTTGTTTTTATGGTTTGAGTTGGTATAATAGTTGGTATCACAAAGGTATCACAGTATATCACAATGGATATCACATTGTGTATCTTTGTGATTACTTGGTA